ATATTGTGGAACAAGATTCATTCATGCAAACAAACATCAGTACACCACTACCCCCCCCCCCCGCTCCATTGTGTTGTTCACACACGAGGCAATATGGCCATCAGACCTAACTTGAATTGATCCACGAAGTAAAGTGGTCGGCAAAGAAATGGTTCCAATTGCACAGATGGCATTAACAAGTCTATATTATATATTCGATATATGATATTTGAGGATTATTTTTAAGTCAACACTGCCGTTGTTTGTCAGTATTCAACTCTCAATAAAGTTGGGAATGAGTACGGTCATGGGTATGGTTACGAACATGGGTACTGTTATGGTCATGAGTACGGTCATGGGTATGGTTACGGTCATGGGTATGGTTACGAACATGGGTACGGTTACGGTCATGGGTACGATTATGGGTATGGTTACGGACATGGGGTATGGTTACGGTCATGGGTACGGTTTTGGGTATGGTTACGGACATGGGTACGGTTATGGTCATGAGTACGGTCATGGATACGGTTACGGTCATGGGTATGGTTATGAGTATGGTTACGGACATGGGTACGGTTACGGATATGGGTACGGTTATGGGTATGGGTACGGTCATAGGTACGGTTACTGTCATGCATACGGTTACGGACATGGGTACGGTTATGGGTACGGTTACGGACATGCATACGGTTACGGTCATGGGTACGGTTATGGGTACGGTTACGGACATGTATACGGTTACGGTCATGGGTACGGTTATGGGTATGGTTACGGTCATGGGTACGGTCATGGTGGATTTCATCACTGGGGCGGTATAATGCCAATGTATGGGTACTATGGTGCAATGGGAATGTCTTGAAATGCCTAGTTTATATGGTGGATATGGTCGTTATGGTTGCATCATGGCGTTCATGGCTTGTCACGTAGCTGCTACCCACTCTAGTAAAATTATTATTAGTATCGACGTCCAACTAAATATGTGAATAGCTGGTCATTACATCGTTGGACATAACACGACACGATAGGATCACCTAATTATGCTAAACAATACATTTAGTTGGCCTGGTGTAAGACAACATAACATAATTTGGTACATATTGTATATCAAATTAACAACGCAAAATTTTTATTGGTACAAAAGTTGGCGCGGTTTCATTTTTGTGACTCGAAAAAAAGGAAAAGTGACAATTGTAAGTAACATTTTCAGCCCAAATAAAGGCGTATATTTACGAGACTTCAGTCGTTGATATTCCAGCAGAGTATGCACTATGTGTAAAGGTTTGGGATTCATCGTATTATAATCTACAGAGCGAAGAATGCTATTATCTATTGGTTTCCAAATCGTATATACAAACTTCGAGAAGATAGATGTGACCTTAGCACATGTTGAGTAACTAACAGAGGCTGCTTTCACTAAATGCGAAAACCGTAACAAATATGACTTGTAAATAAATCATTTGGTCTAGCTAAGACCAAGTAACGATAGTAACGGGAAGGCCTGAGAAATAAATTCGAAAATTAAATGAAATCAATCGGAAAATAATCTTGACTTTTTTTCTGAAGGGGAATAACTTACAACACATTGCTCACAAAAGTGCTACATGCCTCCGCGCACATAATGTAAAGCCCATGTAGTCGGCAGGTATGTGTGTGTGTAATTCGGCCAAGGTATTTGCGAACCACGCATCGACAGGAAGTTTGCATATTAGAACTAGGCACCTCTAATAGCAAACTGATTTGATGCGTCGAGATTTTCTATCAAGGATGAAAAAAGACACCCTGCTAGAAATGGAACCGACTTGAATATCATATGCCCCGCCATCCCTGGGAAAAATCATTTGGGTATGCCGTCAGTCGGCTTCTCTCCCTCTTTAAAACTGAAACAAATTGTTACTATTCGCAGGCTATGAATGGTTTGACATTATAATAACACACAGTACATTATCTGGAACCTGCCATGACCCTTCCCACCTCGGGCGTTATGAGAAAAGTATGGCGTTAATCCCGGGATATTAATACTTGCATCAGCCCCAGATGTTCGGGATAAATCGCGTTAAAGAAACTATCGGAAATAACACCAAGATCACGGGCGAAGTCAGGCTAGTGCCTCGATTTGAAATATGATAGTTTAGAACGTGTGAACATATTCGATACCATGGCAACAAATATGATAGTTTAGAACGTGTGAATATATTCGATACCATGGCAACAAATATGATAGTTTAGAACGTGTGAACATATTCGATACCATGGCAACAAATATGATAGTTTAGAACGTGTGAACATATTCGATACCATGGCAACAAATATGATAGTTTAGAACGTGTGAACATATTCGATACCATGGCAACAAATATAATAGTTTAGAACGTGTGAACATATTCGATACCATGGCAACAAATATGATAGTTTAGAACGTGTGAACATATTCGATACCATGGCAACAAATATGATAGTTTAGAACGTGTGAACATATTCGATACCATGGCAACACCACACCGTCCATAATTTGTATCTGGATTGTAAAAGACACGTGACTTGTTCCCTTCACTTTACGCATTTCTCCTTCGCATTTAAAAAAGTTGTTTGGTCAAAAATTAATTGGGTCTCAGGATGTATGTAATGTCTACCAAAAAAGTTCATAATGCAATAAAATGCAATAAAATGCAATGCAATAAAATGCAATAAAAT